CCCCCCCCCCCCCCCCCTCCCTCCCTCTACAGAAGGAGGAGATTCTGAATGCTTGTTTATTCTATAGGGATTCTTTGGATTTTGAATCCAATATGCAGGGAAATACCTGTTTCCACGTTGTTTGTGTTTGTGAATAATAGTGTGAGAAAGCTATTCTCAACTTCGATATAATACGATCTGGCTTTTTCCGAGAAATCTCTGCCCAAGTCGAGCTTTAGAACACCGGAAAGGATTATGAAAGTTAAGAGGGTCGAATGGTTAGAGAGTCGGTAAATAAGAAGCGAATAATGTGAGCTCCTAAGGATAAGAGCTGTAAGGTTAGAAGGAATGACAGGGCAGGCCTCATTCATGTGTTCTAATCCCAACCCTTGACATGGTTTGTTTGGCTTCTTAGCTGCTGCTATGTACTCATCGAGTGCCTTGCTCACCTGCAATGAAGTACCCAACCTCCTAAATCCCTCGGGTAAAAGAAGCAACTTGAATAAATCTTGATGATTTATATGCAATCTTTTATAATATGACCAAATCTTCAGGCCTCCACATGCTTCACGACATTCCTTGTACAGAAGTTATCAATTCTATATTTCCTCGAGATGCGTGACCAATGTATTTCCTCGTCGACATTATCTATAAAGTCTGAATTTTTCAACTTATTTACTAGGTTAGAACAAGTGTTGCACATTCATTGTCTGCAAGAGTGCGATTATGACACAAACCAACCCTTGATCGCATCATTTTTCGTGTTCTTAAGAATTGGATACAAGGTTCCACATCTTTTTGACGTTGAAAAGCTCTAGAGGGAAGAATTCGGGACATGGAGTGGCGCAAGGAACTGAAGAATATTGATGAGGAACAAGGTGATTAGAAAGCAAAGCACCTAAGTTCTCCAAGAAACGTGCTCCATTGCAAAGAAATGAAATTCAACTGCATCAATGGCGTTGAAGACAGAGTGTGCGCACGGATAGCCATAAGATCGATAGCAAGTGGATAAGAGATAAAACCTAGACAACGTAGATGTTATTTTCCAAATAAATAAACAAAAGGGATTTTAAAAACATATTTGCAGATGTATAATAGGAAAAAATAATTTATAAAGTATTGGTACATTTGTTCTCCAATAATTCATCTTCTTCTTCTTCTTCTTCTTCTAAGCATCCATCAAATTCATAGGTACAGCCTACCTAAAAACAGCACTAGAAATTATGCATTCCAAGGAACACACATGATCATTCAACATTTCCCCAACAAAAAAATCAAAAACCAAACAAAATTTAGAAAAACAAAACAAAACCAAAATCAAAGAGAGACCCATTTGAGGAATGAATTCATTTAAGTATTTGAAGATTGTTATGAAGAACAGCAGCCAGCCTTCTTAACGGCAGAGACATCATCCTTGGAGCCAATGTCAATGGTCTGTCCCTTAGGCAGGACTGTGGGGTCATCTCCAATGTCAAGGATCTTCCTGCTCACCACTCTGTAGGTCTGCGTGAGAACCTCCGTGAAGGAATTCTCGACGTTGAATGACTCTAATGCTGATGTCTCCATGAAATATGTTCTCTCCCTCTCTGCAAATGCCTGCGCGTCCTCCGTCGACACTGCCCTCAGGTGCCGCAAATCCGCTTTGTTCCCTACCAGCATTATCACTATGTTGTGATCCGTGTGCCCTCTTAACTCCTTCAGCCATCTCTCCACATTCTCAAATGTCACATGCCGCGTCACGTCGTACACTATCAATGCTCCTACCGCTCCCCTATAATACGCGCTCGTAATCGCTCGATACCTATTACACCCAAAAGTTCAGAGACTAAATTTATAATTCATAATTTTAAAAAAAATAAAAATCAAGGAAAACCTTTCTTGGCCGGCAGTGTCCCAAATCTGAGCCTTGACGATCTTGTCATCGACGCGAATACTACGAGTAGCGAATTCAACCCCGATGGTCGATTTGGTCTCGAGGCTGAATTCATTTCGGGTGAAACGGGATAAGAGATTGGATTTTCCGACGCCGGAGTCGCCGATCAGCACCACCTTGAACAGGTAATCGTAATCATCATCGGCTCTGTAAGCGCCCATTTCAAGAATTGTCGAAAACAGAGGAGATTATAATTATGCGACGATTTTTAGGAAATGGGATCTGGATTTATAAATAAATAGATAAAGACAGAGATCCCGACAGTCTCCAAGGGAAGAGAGAGAGGGGGAGAGAACGAGAGAGAGAGAGAGAGAGGGAGAGGATGAGGCTGCCGGAGGAGAGACGAGATTGAAAGGGGAGACGATTCCTTACAAGAATGCTCTGCTTTTGCTTTCTATTTGCTAAAAACAAAATCATGCTCAAAACTTTCCTGCCCACCAATCAGATCCAAACTTCCAATTCTAAATTATAAATTTCTCAATAATTTTTAATTTTTAATTTTGGTAAAAGTTTAGATTTAGACCCATTCCTCGTTTTTTTTCCTTTAAATAAATTATATAAATATATATATATATATATATATATATATATATATTCCTTAATTATTAATATAAAGTCAATAAATATAATAAAAAATATGGTTTGGTGAACGTAAATCAATTCTTCGGTTGCATTTGCAGCGCCCAAGTTGGACTACATTATTTAATATTTGTTCGGTTCCCTTCGTTCAAATTTAATTCCCTTTTTCTCTAAATAAATTAAATAAAATAATTCCCTCTTGCTTCACCTTAATTAACAAAATAAAAATAAAATAATAATAAATATACCCTCCTCTTCTCCAAAAAGGCTCGTAAATATCAGAATTTAGTACAAGTTTGAATTAATTATGAAATATATGATATTCGTAATCATTTAATATTTAAATAATATATTAGTTAGAGAATATATCTTAAATATTCGTAATCAAATTTAAATAGTAGTTTATTTTATTTTATTCGAAATAGTTAGTTTATATTTTCTTCATCGGTGGATATTAGTTAGTATCTTGTATCTATTTAACCGTTTATTTTATTTTATTTTATTCTCAAAATTTAGTCAGTTTATATTTTCTTTATTTATAGGTATGAGTTAGTATCTTGTATCTATTTAACACTAGTTTATTTTATTTTATTTTATTATCAAAATTTAGTTAATTTTTTTTTTTTTTTTGTAGGTATTAGTTAGTATCTGTTATCTATTTAAACGTAAATATAATGAAATTGAACCTTTCATCCTAATTTTATTTTTCATTATTAAATCTGTATTTTAGTAATAATATTTTCATATCTATTCATACAGGTAGATCATTCACTTAACTAGCCAGTATATAATTACTCCAGGTATATAATTACTCCAGATATATATATGTATATATATATATATTAAATAAATAGGAGAAAACAGAGAAAGGGAGGAGTCTGCGCAGTAAGAATTTGAACGGCGACCGTTGGAAAATGGTTAAATCTTGACGGAGTTTATGTTATTTTATTTAATTTATTTTTGAAAAATCAAATCTCCACGGCAGTTGAATGGACATTTATTGCAAGTTGTAAATAATTGTGATTTTATTTTCATTTGGACATGGTCAACTTTGGTGACCATCAATTAATTTGGCTCATTAAATATATTTTTTTTATATAAAAATAAATAGTTCAATTTGGTATATTAAATCAATATTTTTTTTTTAATTACTAAGCCATAAAATAAAAATGTCTTTAAAATACTATGAAAATATGTTGGCCTGTCCATTTGTTGCTTAATTAAGTAATAATGGAGACATTTTATAAATTTAATTCTAATATTTGAATTTTCGTCCATTTTTAATTTCCTATTTTAATATCAAATATTAATCTTTATCGTAGTTTTATTTCAAATTGAAAGGAGGAAACATCAGCATGGATGTGACTAATGGATTGAAGTGGTTTAATTATTAAAATTAATAAATTTAAGAAAAGAAATATATATATATTACACGTTAGTCCTCCGATTTTGAACGCGTTCACTATGTCATTAGACTTTCAACTTAGTTCCTGTAATTTTAAATTTTATGTCTCATTTAAATTCACTCATCTACTAAACACAAAATTAAAAGTTTACGACTCTATTAGTATAACGATCCATGTCTAGGATTTGAAATTTGAATTCGATGTCTGGTGGTCCCGTCGTTCCAGCATGTTTCGTCTTCATTCATATGCATCCTAAAAAAATTCCTAGAAGATCACCCAACATAGAACCTATCCTTACAGACCAACACGAGTCCTTCCACCATACTTTGTCCTTACTCATATGCATCCTAGAAAAATTACGATGAGGACACCTAACATAGAGCTACTGAAAAGTAAAATGCACCATGTTGGTATAGACAGTAAGTTTCATTTCCTTTACGCCTTTGTTAGTAATTTTATTCTCAAGATCGCTTTCGTTCGAATGTGGTTTCGGTTCATTTATGTACCTTTCTTTTACTTAAGGTCAATAATCATACACGAAAATTAAATTTATATTAAATAAATCAATTAACTATTACAATTCAAACATTTATAAGATTCAAGAATTTATTAAAAATGAAAAACTAATAAACAAATTCGATACTTTTGACAATTCAAGAACGAAATAGACACAGAATTCAAAGTTTGTCACATCAGAAAAACGAAATGAAATCTAACTTAAAGAAACACACATTTTCTGGCCTTTCGTCGCTTTCTCTTCGGTTTCGGTGGCTGTAGGACAACCTTGATGGCAGCATCAAACACAGCTTTGACATTCTGCAAGTTAGATCAGTTGATCACAAGTGTTAGATTCGGGTTCGGGACATCGTTAAACTTCCATAGCTCGATTCGAGTTAGTAGCATCAGCCAACTCTGTCTAGCTTACTTCAAGATCAAATATTTGTTTTCAGAACATATTGGGTTTCAATTACCTGCTGAGTTTTTGAGCTGCATTCTATGTAACCAGCTGCACCAATTGCTTTCTTCAGTTCTTCACCCTGTCAAATAAGGCCATCAACAACTTCCTCTCCCATCAGATCCATGAATATGAAAGCAATACCTGCGCTGTCGTGATCGGTACCGCACCGGGATGGCTAGTCAGAAACTGCTTATCGTCCCGTAAATCTGCAAACAAGTAACCATTTAAACATCAAATGACCCAACATTGTGTCAGTTTTTGATGTGTTTGAACATGATTGTCATTACCATGTTTGGTTCCAACAAGAACAATTGGGACAGTCGGGGCATAATGCCGCAGCTCCGGGATCCACTGTGGAAACAAATAAGAAGCCTGATGTTCTAATAGCAATGATTTATAGTTTGATTAATGAAGGGAGAGCAGATGATGGTTGTGAACCTTCTTGGAGATGTTTTCATAGCTAGCTTTGCTGATTAGAGAAAAGGCCAACAGAAACACGTCTGCACCTCTATAGCTCAAAGGCCTCAGCCTGTTGTAATCTTCCTGTCCTGCATTTAGCAGATAACCCCAACAATGAATGGCTTCATATTCTTTCTTTAAACATGATTAGATACTCCATAAGTTTATTATCAAGTCACCCTTGAGCTTATAAGCTTCAAAGTAATAGGCTAAAGTTTCTTTATATCAGTACTTCTATCGTAAATTTAAGCAAATGAACGTTGAGGATGGTTGGAAAATATGTCGACTAATTAAGGGGTTGACCATGGGTTTATAAGTAAGGAATACATCTCCATTGGTACGAGGCCTTTTGGGGAAACCAAAAGCAAAGCCTTGAGAGCTTATGTTCAAAGTGGACAATATTATACCATGGTGGAGGTTCGTGGTTCATAACATGGTATCAGAGCCATGCCCTTAATTTAGCTATGTCAATAGAATTCTGAAGTGTCGAACAAAGTAGTTGCGAGCTTCGAAGGTGTTGTCAAGTATCGAACAAATGGTGTACTATGTTCGAGGGCTCTAGATAAAGAGTCGAGTCTTGATTAAGGAGAGGTTGTTCCAGGGCTCCCAAGCATCAGGGGAGACTCTACGGTAAGCATCAGGAGAGACTCTACGGTGTACTTTGTTCGAGGGAAAGATTGTTGAAAATTGTGGTGTACTTTGTTCGAGGGAAAGATTGTTGAAAATTGTTGGGAGGAAGACCCATATTGGCTAAGCATTAAGGGGATGATCATGGAATTATACGTAGAGAAACAAAAAAACAAAACCACTAGAGAGTTTATGTTCGTGGACAATATCATCTAACAATAAACACTCTTTAAGCTTAAGTTTATGGGCTACCATACCAAATCATCGATCAACCAAAAAGCTAATGGGTGATAATAAGTTTGCCCAAATCGTGAAGGTCAAGGTAACCACAATCCTCACAAACAGAAACCCAAATTTCAAAAGTGGATATCAAGTAAAGTTTCTCACCGGCAGTGTCCCAAAGCCCCAGGTTGACGGTGCTGCCATCGACCACAACATTTGCACTGAAATTATCAAAAACGGTGGGCACATAGTCCTACAAGAATTCCCAGAAAAACAAAGTGCCCAAATCAGCTCAGCTCAAACCTTAAATCTGCGACTAAAAATGGAGAAGACAAAGAACAGAACAGAGACGCTTACAGTTGGGAAAGTGTTGCTAGTGTATGAGATAAGCATGCAAGTCTTCCCCACAGCCCCATCTCCAACAGTGACACACTTGATGAATCGAGCCGTACTCATCTCAAGAACCCCCTTATGAGTATTACCTTCAACCTTCACCAATTTCAAGTTCAACAATCTCTCAGAACATTACCCACTTCTCCGATTTTCGTTTCTCAATCTCCATTGGTGAAGAAAAAGAGGCAGAAATTGAAAGAACTATGTAAAAGCAGAGAGAAGAGGGAAGAAAATGATTTGGGGTTCGAAATTTGAATAGAAATGGAGGGGGTGGAGAAGGGCATTTAATAATCCTAACAAACTCAGAATCTGGGTTCAACTTTTGCGTTGTGGGTGTGAGTTTATGGTGTGTTCTTTTAGCCCTTCACCATTGATTGCTGCCAAATGCTTTCCGTTCCTTAAAGCAGACGCCCAAAACCCAAAAGGGAAAACAGCCAAATTGAATGCGTTGGGTGATAGTGTTGGTTGTTTGAAGTGTTACACAAGGGAGAGCTTTAAATTGATGATAATTAAGAGTTAAACCAGCAATGTATTTCCTTAATTACATCAAAACTTTATATTAAAGTGTGTTACGAGCAACTCAGCTGGTTGTTAGGACTTTTCTAAAAGGTCTTGTATCAATGAAGATGTATTCCTCTCTTATAAATCCATGATCATTTCTAAATTAGTTAACGTGTAACTCTCTCCCAACAATCTAAACAGGGGTAAGCGCAGTGCATCTGTTTTGGGTACAGAGACGACGTATATAAGCCCGTAATGATTGAGAGGGAAATGATTGGTAATGAATATGAAATGAGAGAGTTTAGTATAATAAAATAAGAATGATTAATTAATATGGAACAAAGTTTGTTAATTGGGTCCAATTTGCATTTTTATTAAAGCAACTTTTGATAGACACGTTTACAGCTGATACCATCATTTTTATGAAGCTCAAATTTCACAACTTCATAATCATTCCCCATTGCTTTTGGGGAGGGAATCAATCCAAAGAGGAATCATAATCATTGGACGGCTGTGATTTCATTTGAATTTTATATTATATTGAAAGTGCGATTAAGACATCTTTATTTAAGTTGGTCGTTCTAACATACTTGAAAATTATTTTTAACTTATGTTCGGTAACGAAGGAAACTTAGGAATGAATCGAGAAATTATTGGTTCATTTATGGCTTGCACGCCTTACAAGCACCAAGGGAACAAATGCCACGAGACATGTTTCTTAGTTTGGGAGGCTGTTACAACATTTGAGGGCATTAATATTAACAAAAATTGTTCGTTTTGGCTGGTAACGTATTACTATCTGCCTTACATGTCCTTATAAACAATGTTTCGTTCCCTTCTCCAACCGATATGGGATTTCTGTTCGTCTAACAGACCTGTAATGTATTAGAGTCGTGTTCGTCTAACAGACTCGTAATGTATTACCGTCACCTCACATATACTTAGAAACAATGTTTCGTTCCCCTCTCCAACCGATATGGGATCTATGTTCGTCTAACAGACCCGTAATGTATTACCATCAGCCTCACATATCCTTATAACAAATGTTTCGTTCCCCTCTCCAACCGATATGATATCTCATAATTAATCCGCCTTGGGGGCCAGCGTCATCTTTTGACACATCGTCTAGTGTCTAGCTTTCATATCAATAGTAACAGTTCAAGCTCGTCGCTAACAAATATTGCCCGCTTTGACCCGTTATATATCCTCGTCGGTCTAGGTCAAAGAAGTGAAAAACATAAGAGAAGAAGGCAAGAGAAGGGCTGTGGATTCTGTGGTAGATCTTAAAGTGTGTAAATTTATTTTGTTCTGTTTGAATCCCTTCTGTTCTTTATCACAAACCCTTTAATAATTCTTATTACATCACTGCATAATCTAATCTACTGGATATGAACAAACATCTGCATATAATTTATAATCTTTAAACTTAAGTTCTTCCCTTGTGAACATGCTCAGTCTTTGGTCGGGTAGCTAGCCTCCATGGCTATGCCACAGGCACCTCGCTTATCAATCGAATCACGCTTCATCCTTATGTACCCAGATTCACCCCACTCAGTCCCCCACGAGTTCTTGACAAGCCAGTAAGTATTATCCCCAACTTCCCCATACCCAACGATTGCCACTCCATGATTGAGCTGCTTCCCACAGCTACCTGAGAAGATACCACTAGAATAGAATTGAAAGTCATATCCCCCTGCATCAATGGCTACAGAAACTGGCTGATGGGCAACAGCAGCTTTCAATTTCTTCTCGTTATTCGTAGGTACTTTTTCATACCCACTTATTGTCACAGAGTGGTATCTCACTTTTTGTGTGTTGCAAAAAGCTTCAATTCCTCTGTATGGATATTCTCTCTCTGTTGTCAGACCACTTCTCTTGATGTACTCAAACGCTTTGTTCATGAATCCGCCATCGCAGCCCTGGTTCCCTGAGATGATATCACAGTCCACAAGCTCTTGCTCTGATAAAGACTCTAACTTTCCTGTTCTTATTTTGTGGATGCCTTCCACTGCTGCTACTGCAGAGAATGCCCAGCAACTCCCTGTTTCAAATACTTCAAAACTTGTGAGTATAGATAAAAAGGGCTACTTGTTTTAATGAATGAGTTTGTTCTACGTTGGCTAATTAAGGAAATGATCATGTGTTTAGAAGTAAAGCCATAAGAGCTTAGCTCAAAGTATTTGGAGGTTCGTTATTCCTAACATGGTATAGAGCTATGCTCTTAACTTAGCTATGTCAATAGAATCCTCAAATATCGAACAAAGTAGTTGTGAGCCTCGAAGGTGTAGTCAAAAGTGACTCAATTGTTGAACAAAAGGGTGCACTTTGTTCGAGGACTCTAGAGAAAGGAGTCGAGTCTCAATTAAGGGGAGACTGTTCCAGGGTTCCATAGGCCTCAGGAGGATTGTTGGGGGAGTCCCACGTTAACTAATTTAGAGAATGATCATGGATTTATAAGTAAAGAAAACATCTCCATTGGCACGAGACCTTTTGGGGAGTCCAAAGCATATCATTGTGGAGGTTCGTTATTCCTAACACATACCGCATTGGCCTTGATCCTTTACCGGAGTAACAGCATCTTCCATTCTCCAGTCAACATGAGTAGGCAAGCTAATAACATGATCATATCTAAAGCATGTATCAGGCAGGCAATGAGTTTGATACCCCAAATAAGTTGTCTTAAACTCATCATTTGTGAGGTCTGCAAAGCTATTTTCAGCAAGAGTATATGAATGATTCAGTGAATTGAAGTTGTCAATGTACTGAACATTCAGCTGATAAACTGTGAATCTCCGTTCCTGCTCCTCTCTGCTCTTGTACTCTCGGCTGTGTTTATTCATCCATTTCTTGTACCTGTCTTGTAAGCCATTGGAGGGGCTGTCCGTTGCCATGGATGCCATTGAGGGTGTGCAGACAATCCAGAGAATCAGGGACGTTAAACCCATGTTCCAAATCGTTTTATATGCTTCCATGGCCCTTTTCTAATTGAGAATTGAGCTGAGTTTGTGTTCATTGTTCATATGGAGTTCTGATTATATATTGATCCATTCTCAACTGTAAAAGGATGGAGTTTTGATACTTAAGAACTTCTTGGATTCATGTGGTTTACACCTTGAAGTGTCTGTAGGGCAAGTCTGTTGTTTCATGTTACCTGCACGGCAGAGACAGCTTTTGTTTTGAAATGAATGGTGACAATTATGGAGCTAAGTTGTCAATCTTTTTCAAATTTCTATTATATGTTAAACTTATCTAAATATCTTCTCACGCTAGGCTACGGTCGGTGTTGGTGTCGACCACCAAAATTCACTGACCATGACGACCACCACCTAGCATTGTTGATCGGCAATGCAAGCTACCACCACTCACTACTATTGATTGCTACTACCCATTGACAACAACCTTTAACGATCAATGACTAGATGATGGTCGGAGACCAGGATTGTTGGTTGTGTTGAAGATTGTTGGGAGAGGAGTCCCACGTTGGCTAATTAAGGGGAAGATCATGAATTTATAAGTAAGAAATATTATCTCCACTGGTACGAGGTCTTTTGAGAAAATCAAAAGCAAAATCATGAGAGCTTATACTTAAAATGAGCAATACTATACCACTATGGAGAGTCTCGGTTCCTGGTTGGTGACCAACGACCACTTCGACAATCACTAAAATGGTCATTAGTCATCAATCCATTGTTTTAGTTGCTAGTCTCAATCACTAGCCACCGATCACCAACAATCAAGATTTGGGACAGGGGCCATGACAAGGGATCGAGACCAATGACTAGCAACCGGGGATTGGTGACTGACTACTTCAATGATTGGTAGTCGATGACAGGGGACAAAGACTAGTGATTGAGCCTAAGAATCAAGGACCCGCAACTCACCACTGGCTACCGGGACTAGTGACCCCTTTGACGATGTTCAGTGATCACTAGTCATGGGTCTCTAGTCCCATTCGTTGATTCTCAATTTCGATCGTTAGTCATTGGTTTCCGATTTTCGATCTCAATCGCTAGTTATAGGTTGCTTGGTTACTAATGGCAAACAACCAAAATTCTGGTTTGGCCAATAAGATGCTCAACGTGTCAAGAACAAATTGATAAACAGTGAAGAAATTGTAGCTGTGCACGCCTCCTCAGCTGGGAGAGAGCAACATACCCAAAAATCAGCCATGATTTAGCTCAGTTACAGTCCTAACTACAATTCAATCCACATGGGTTTACGATACACGTCAAAGCTTGTCGTCTCGTGCCTAAACTAATTGAACTGTATTCAAGTTGACGTTGATGAACAATGATTGTAATATGATTGTAATGAGACAAAGAGTGAGGGATCCCACTAAATTGCAAGTCAGAGAGGGCACGTGGTGACTGATTCCTACCCTCATTGATTATAAAATAAGCCAAGCCAGTGGCGACTTTCGTTTGAGTCCACAACCAACTGGAGATAGCTGTCCATGTGCCATCACTGCACAATCATATCACAATCTGATACCCATCATCAAACCCTTTACTCCCCACATTTTCATCCATTTCCGCCTTATAAACCCTCTGTTACCCTCCCTTTGATTTGGGTTTCATTTTGTTTCCTACAATTTCCTCTCAATCATGCCAAATTTGCCTCCCAAATTCCCAAACTTCAACACTCCAAATCCCCCTGCACACGACCACTTCCTTTCCTTCTCGTCCCCTCGACAAAGTCTCCACCATCGCTCCGTTAGCGACTCGATCGCCTTCCTCGAAACGCCGACGATGAATCAAACCATTTTAGGCTCGGCTGCACCATCCAACAATAATGCATTTGATGTGTTTGATGAAGATGATCAGCCAACTTCTTCCGAGGCACATAACGATGGAATCACTGACTCGAAACGAGTCAAGAGGTAAATTAAGAGCGAGTCTTATACGATCTCTAAAAGGGTGTAAAAAAGTTGACATCTTTTCATGAAAAACACACAGAATCTTGGCAAACAGACAATCTGCACGAAGATCACGGGTGAGAAAGCTGCAATATATTACAGAACTGGAACAGAGTATCAGTACATTACAGGTTATTTTGCATTGTAATTTAATAATTTCGGTGTGTTCATGAACTTGTTTGATTAATGTCTTAATGATATGATTATACAATGAATAGGCCGAAGTTTCAATGTTGTCACCACGAGTAGCATTTCTAGATCAACAACGACTACTTCTAAACGTGGACAATAGTGCTTTGAAGCAAAGAATCGCCTCCCTCTCCCAAGACAACATTTTCAAAGATGGTAACAAAACAAAACAAATCCTCATTTCATTCTTTTTTCGAGTTTAACCGTTGCACGCTAGAATGATAATAGATGTCTTAGTTATCGAGCAATACCCAGTATGCCGCTCTTCATGTTTTTATCTTATATTCACATATTGTCTAAAAAGCTAAATTTATAATTTTGAACCGAAATTATGTATTCTTGGATGAAAGTCTCACATCGGCTAATTTAAGTAATGATCATCTATTGGCATGAAGTTTTTTTTTTGTGGAAATCCAAAGTTGACTCTCCACAATGGTACACTATAAGCCTCCCCTTAATGGAACCCTTGAACAAAGTACACCATTTGTTCGACACCAATGGTACACTATAAGTCTCTCCTTAATCGAGGCTCGACTCCTTTCTCTAGAGCCCTCGAACAAAATACACACTTTAGTCACTTTTGACTACACCTTCGAGGCTCACAATTCTTTGTTCGATAGTTGAGGATTCTATTGACATGGTTAAGTTTAGGGCATAGTTTAGATACCATGTTAGGAATCACGATTCTCCACAATAACAATAGTATGATATTGTCCACTTTGAGCATAAGCTCTCGTGGCTTTGCTTTGGGCTTCCCCAAAAAGCCTCGTAACAATAGAGATAGTATTCCTCACTTATAAACCCATGATCTTCCACTAAATTAACCAACGGTGGGACTCACTCCCAATAATCCTCAACAAACTTATACTCAAAGCAGACAATATCATATCATCGTGGAGAGTCGTGTTGAACTAACCATCTTTAATTTTAAAGAAAATACGAGTATTTTTTAAATTTGAGTATATATATTGAAGAATTTATAAGGATGTGCAGCACATGAAGAAGCATTGAAGAGGGAAATAGAGAGATTAGGGCAATTATACCATCGGCAACAGAAGAATCGGAGAATGAATAGCAATGGGCCGTCGCCGGTAGCAGCCGACGAGCCCATATCTCCGGGAGATAAAAACCAGACGCTTCTCTATGTTTGACCAACTTTTTTACCTTTGCTTTTTTTGTCGGATAACATGTTGAGTCAAAACTCAGCAGTCAAATGTTCAATCAACAAACTTTACTGCAGTAAATATTTGTTCAAAGGATTCCATCATTTTGAATGAGCTTGTTCGCCCCGTCGGAATCAAATCTCATACGTCAATATGTGAGAGTCGAGATTCAAATGATAAAAATAGTGAAAATGAAAATTGTGATTATTAGCTAAGTCGATTAAATAATCATGATACAAATATTTTACTATTAAAAAAAATTATAAATTTAGTCTCTAAATTTTTAATTTGACTACTATTTTTAAATTTATAATATTATCTATCCCCTTATATTATTTGTCTTTATTTATTTTAATGATTTTTTTTTTTTAATTTTATTATGTTATGTTCATATTTGTGGTTTCTTGACGTGAAAGAGTTGCTAGAGGTTGATTGCTCACATGGGTAAGCCATTGCAAATATGTATTTTTTTTTTTTTTTTGGAAGTATTCGATTTAGAGTTTAAGTTTATATATTTGTTCATCTAAAATGGACGTCTCTTTCAATGAGCCATCGTTGCTTGTCGTTTTCGTCTACAAAATTTTTCACTATCGACTTTCTTGGAATTTCTTCTCATATTTAGATGAGAAACGATTCGTTCGAATCTTTACAACGAGAAATGAAGAAGTTTTGTTTCTTATTCTAGCAAACAATTCCTCGTCTAGATTCGTAAGCGACTTTCTATAAATGCAAATGGAAAGCAATTCAACCAATTAGGGATAAGGCCTCGTGTAACAACAATGATGACGCTAGCTAACAAGGAGTGAGATGACGGGCAACATTTATCACGAAGAGAAAAACGATAAAATGAGGAATTGTTTTAATTAACATCAACTCGAGAATTCAATCATAAAAATTATATTTGGTTAAACATTTTTTGAGTTACATTTTTTATTTTTAAAAATTTGATAATGATATGAGTGGGGTAAGGTAGAGCAAGAGGGAAAAAATGACAAGAAATTGAAATTACAATTTTTTGTTTTTTAATTATGATCAAATAATAAATGAACTTATTTTGTCTCATCCACCATGTTACACTAGTGTCCAAGATTTGGCACATCTCAACTCAATAAAAAAGAAAAGTTATTTGGTTCCTAATCCAACTACTTTTTATTTTTCAATATAAACATATTTTGAATATTTTTCAATCGAGATCTGATTTTTAAATTTGTTATCCTACACTGTAAAAACGTTAAGAAGCATAAAATAATATCGAGTCTTTTCTTATTAAATCTCTATTTTCAAGCATAAAAACGACAGTGAGGCTGACAGTAGTATATAACGGACTAAAGTGGACAATTTTAAGTGGGGTTGGACTGTTATAAATAGTATGAAAGCAAGTGGGGTTGGATTGTTATAAATAGTATAAAAGCCAACACGAGAAAGCCAGCAGGGTTGGACTGTTATAAATAGTATAAAAGCCAACACGAGAGCAATGTGTCAACGAGGATGCAAGCCCCCAAAGAGTAGATTGTGAGATCTCATATCGGTTGGAGAGAAAAACGAACATTCCTGTGTGAAAACCTCTCAAAACCTCTCCCTTTTTTAAAATCGTAAATCTGACGACGATACGTAACGGGTCAAGGTGGACAATATCTGCTAGTGATGGGCGGTAAAAAACGACCCATATACAAAAAGTTAATGTAGCCATAATTTACGAGTACCTACCCCATTATGAATCAATCATAGTTCAATAAAGGAAACTAATTTGGAGCAATTATATAATCCAAGGCATGTGGAAAACCAAACAAAATATCAAAGCTTTTTCATTCACTCATTCATTTGAGCCTAATTACACTGGCCATTTTATACGACCTGCCAAAGAAAAGCCTGCCTATGTCTGCACGGCTCTTCTATTACACCAGTATATGTTGCTGTCTGAATTCCTTGTCTTTTCCATCAAACACTTCTCTCTCTTTACCTTTTTATCTTTCAAGAGGATTCTCAAAGAGATGAAGTGCCTTGAGATATTGGGAGGCTGCAACTTGGAAAAAGTTCATCTCCTTTTTGAGTCATAAATGAGCAATATATAGCAGCAAATTCACTCAAACAAGAAGAATCTGATATCAAAACTTGACGATGGAATTTCATGGTTTATGGGGAAGAACAGGATATGAATCACAATATTGAAAGGAGTAATGCATATCTTATCCACAACTTGAAGATCTGAATCAAAAGAGAAGTGTTTTTGCATTTTGCTATCAGTTTTGAAGCTAAATCTTCATTGATTTGCATTAGTGGTGTCAGATAAACCCAATTGAAATGCATGAACTATAATAGTTTGAAGAAATAAAAGAAGATAAGTATGTGGATTGTATTGATGGGGAGGAAGAAAAGCAAGTCATTTTCCAGCATTTGGTTCAGTTTTATGTGGCTACAGGCACCACTACCACAAAAATGTAACTTGGCAAAACTCCAAACGAGTTACACATGCTGTCAAAGCAACCTGTATAAACCACAAGCTCATTTAGTTTCAATCCTATCTCTTTCTCTGTCCTAATTCCAATCATACACTAACTTTTTGCCTTCCAATAAATCATGAGTCTAAGCACAACTGCAGCACACAAACAATTCATCTTCTTTCTCTTTCTCTCTCTCTCTCTTTCTCTCTAGCAGAGAGGAAAAAACAAGCAAAAAACAATGGTAACTTGTTTGTGGAGAAACTCCTTAGTTCCTATTGGCTATGAATGGCTTCTTTAACGGTTAAAATCTTCCTTGTTTCCAACAGGTTCTGGTATCTAAGCATGGGAGTGGAGGAGGAGAAGAAGATGCTGCAGTGGATTTTTGGGGAAACCCAGTGGACAAATCAAAAACTGGAGGATGGCTTGCTGCAGGGCTCATCTTAGGTGCTTAATTTTTTCTTTAGTTTTCACAGACCAAGAGTCTAAATCTATCAATTCTAATGCCCAAAATGATGCAGGAACTGAGCTCTCTGAAAGGATATGTGTGATGGGGATATCAATGAACTTAGTGACATATTTAGTTGGGGATTTGCATCTCTCTTCAGCTAAATCTGCAACTATTGTGACTAATTTTCTTGGTGCCCTTAATCTTCTTGGCCTTCTTGGTGGGTTCTTAGCAGATGCCAAGTTGGGACGTTATCTAACTGTTGCAACTTTTGCTTCCATAACTGCTGTGGTAAGTTGTGAGCCATTAAGAATGATTTCAGCAAAGAAATTTCTAGTTCAGAATTTAGCCTAAGCCTTGCTGGTTTTTTGCAGGGTGTTATTTTGTTGACATTGGCCACAACCATCCCTGGCATGCGACCCCCTCATTGTGATGACTCCAGAAGGCAACTTCATCAATGCATTGAAGCTAATGGTGGGCAACTTGCCATGCTCTATGCAGCACTTTATACTATAGCACTCGGCGGAGGGGGGATAAAATCAAACGTTTCAGGATTTGGGTCCGACCAATTCGATGTCAATGATCCTAAGGAGGAGAAGGCCATGATATTCTTCTTCAATAGGTTCTACTTTGCCATAAGCATTGGATCCTTGTTTGCTGTCATTGTGTTGGTTTATGTACAAGACAATGTTGGGAGAGGCTGGGGATATGGAATCTCTGGAGGGACCATGGTGATTGCTGTGATTGTACTGCTTTGTGGGACAACCTTTTACAGGTTTAAGAAGCCTAGAGGAAGTCCTCTAACAGTGATATGGAGGGTGGCTCTTTTGGCTTGGAAGAAGAGAAGTCTCCCTCTCCCATCTCATCCCAGCTTCTTAAATGACTACCAAAATGCCAAGGTTCCTTACACCTACAGGTTCAAGTAAGTGTTTTTCAGATCTATCATCAAATACACTTCGTTTTTTTTCCCCCTCTTTATTGTAAAGAAAACGGTGTTAATGAAAAGGTGAATATCAGGTGTCTTGACAAGGCTGCAATTCTGGACGAGTATGTTGCCAACAATCGAAACAGAAACGATCCATGGATTGTCTCGACCGTGACTGAAGTTGAAGAAGTGAAAATGGTGCTGAAGCTTTTACCTATTTGGTCTACTGGCATCCTCTTTTGGACGATCTACTCTCAAATGACTACGTTCACGGTAGAGCAAGCATCATTTATGGATAGAAAAGTTGGTAGTTTTGAGATTCCTCCTGGTTCTATGTCAGCCTTTCTATTCATCACCATCCTTCTCGTCACTTCCTTGAACGAGAAACTATTCATACCAATTGCACGAAAGCTGACTCACAATGCCCAAGGTCTCACAAGCCTTCAGAGGATTGGAATTGGACTTGTTTTCTCAATTTTTGGCATGGTGGCTGCTGGAGTTGTTGAGAAAGAGAGGAGGACATTAGCTTTGGGACAACGTACTCTAAGTGCTTTCTGGTTAATACCTCAGTTCTTCTTGATTGGTGCTGGAGAGGCATTTACATATGTTGGACAACTCGAGTTTTTTATCAGAGAAGCACCGGAACGAATGAAATCCATGAGCACAGGGCTTTTTCTTAGCACTCTTTCCATGGGATTTTTCGTTAGTAGCTTGTTGGTAACAATCGTGGATAAAGTAACCAACAAGCAATGGCTGAGAAGTAATTTGAACATGGGAAACTTGAACTACTTCTATTGGCTACTTGCAGTGTTGGGGCTGCTAAACTTTTTCTTCTTTCTAGTCCTAGCCCGGAAACATCAGTATAAAGACCAGCATTACTTCAACTCTAAAGACAACAATGAGGAGCTCAAGAGTTCTAATGACTTGGTAGCACTTGAAGTGGAAGGGCCAATAAGCATAAAGGCAACAGAAAGTTAAGAGTGTGTGTTTCAAGGTGTCCCATGTATAAGTTTAAAAATCCTGCATCTACGTTTGAATATCTCAAAACCTGTAGCTACAACCATCCTATGCTTTCAGCATCAATGGCAGATAAGCCACTGCTATTTTGTCTTCCCCTAGGTTCTATATGATCTAAACCATTCAGCATATTTCAAATAATGTTTTCCAGTGCAAACCGGCACTCATTTATGTAAACATCCATGTCTCATAGCAGGCTTCTTACTGGAAGTAGAATCCTCAAATGATTTTGATAGGCATCATTTTCAAACAGGCATCTATTCCAATAAATTATTTTAGCTAGCAACTAGACTCAGCAAGATGTATAGAGTATAAAAGCCTTGATTATCAAATAATTCCAGAAAAGTACACTGCTCAAATATAATCCTTCTCACATCGTCCCGATAAATGAGAAGTAGACCTGATATCTAACAGCAATGCATGTTTCAAGAGGCAGAAGCAGAACTTGGAGAAGGAAGGTGATTTACAACTAATGGAGGTCGGAGGGCCGCATGCTGTTCCACCTTCTGTTTACGAGCTTTATACATTTCTTCTGTTTCAACCACTACTAATCGCTTTACCTATAATAAAATTAAGCAAAACAACGAAAAAGGGATCATGGCATTCAGTCACCATGAGGTTGTTCTGTAGTGTGTGCATGTGCGCAGTAGAGAATAAGTATAAAAAGCAACCTGTTGAAGCATTCCCCTAACAGTTGGTGTGTTCCAGCGCATGACAGTTCGGTTGCACTTTCGGAGCCGCAATGCCTCTAATGTACGTCGGTGAAGCCTCCTTGTTCCTGGCATGCCTCTCACTAATGTGATATAAAGATTAGGACTCCATGTAATTGGGACATTGGCTTTGAAGGCCTTGAAGGCATTCATGTCAAAGATCTCCAAAAATCTACAAAACAAAAAAATGATCAAGAAATAGATTTCTCTGCGAGCATATCAACAATCTCAGCTAAGCACCTCAACAAAATCTTCTAATTTGTTGGGCGGGAAAACTTCTGCAGTTCACAAACTTTCAATTAAACAAAAGATCATCTTCAATAGATTGAAAGCTCTACCAATGCTCTATTTGCACAAAATAACATGAAAAGAAATAGATGATTACTTAAAGTAGAAACCACATCCACGCCATGATTCGTCATCTCAAATAGATATATTCATCTTTATATCCACCTGAAGCTTTCAATAAAGTCTTCTACAATATTTAAAAAAATTAAAACGGTAGAACTGCATGCTTGGAAGCAAAACCATTTCAATATAGCATTCAACTACATCATTTTCATCAATCTAGACCTTGAAATTTACATAAGATTTTTCATAGACACAGCATTCAGTCTTAAAAGGAACATTAAAAAAAGGTGAAAGCGCATGCTAAGAAGCAAAAAACTTCCAATGCAGAACGGATAAGGAGGAGATCTGTAAGCTTGATAGCATTGTGATAGAACTAATGCTGGGACGTGCATGGTTCAAAAAAGCCACAAACTGAAAACCATGATGATCAGCTTGCCAAATGTGCTAACTAAACCAAACTCTTTGTCAGTTTAAAACCAGTTTTACAAATTCAATTTGGTTTGATTAAGAACTTTCTGATATGAATCACCAAGGACATCAAATTATTATTCATACTTCATCCAATAACTTTGATGTAATTTTATCCTTTTATGACATATTAAGTAGGGTTATTCTTAGTCACTTTCTATGTTCTATAATGTGGCATGTATTCAGGGTTCTGGGATGTAATCTAAGGCCTGTCGACTAGGTTGTACAAAACAGATAATGATGAATCGAGTTTTAACCTTTGTGCTTCTTTCAAGTTTAGCCAACAAGAGAACTTCATGAATTTTGCAATTCATGCGTCGAGTTGCATAACAAGAACATTCAAGTAGGATTTATCATCCTATCTAGTGGAGTGTTCAATTCTTCAGCCAAGGAACTTGTTCTTTATCTCAAGAGTAAGATCGTTAGGCAATCCGTTTCTAGCTCAATCCTTAGGGTTAAAATAGAATCGTTTCTAACTCAATCCTTAAGGCAATCCGTCTCTAATTCCAATTCATTACGATTTTCATATCACTTTCATTATATCTCATTCCCAGCATTGAATTAAATCCTCGTTCAGGAATAACGTAATATTCAAACGAAAACATTCATAAACCAAAAAAAAAAAAAAACAGACAGGACATTCGAAGCATCAATTTTGCAGCCACCCATTACAGATACCAAATTTTGATTTACTAAATATTTTCACATTCTAAAGAACAGCAATACACATTATTATCACGAAACTGGAATCTCCACATCATGAAAGGCCACTGAAAGTCTGAAAAACAGACGAAAAGTGAGGGGGGAGGGGGGGAATTAAAGATATATCCTGAGAATAGTATGGAAACCCATCATTCTTAATGAGCTCAAACTAAATAGCATTCTAATAAACCAACTAGTACAAAGACAATCAATTTTTCCTAATACAGAATGAAAATTAACCGCCCCAAGTAAAGTAGATAGCAGAAAAAACAAGAACAGAAGATTAGGCGGGAAGAAAGCATAAATCAAGAAAGTGGAGAATCCAATATTACCAGTTCGAGGAGAAGAAAGGAGAGGAATCAAGGGAAGCGACTGATAGCTGCCGATGTTAAGTCTCAAGCTTGAGTTTGAGAGACGAAACTAAAATATCGAGGGAAAGAGAGAGTTGAGAAACGGCGTCGGATATCTAATTTTTTTTTTTCTTTCCAAAATGAATTTCTTTCTAAAAAAAATATTCCTAAATTAAAAATTTTCGATAATATATATATATATTTGTCAAGTTTGGATAGATATTGTCAAATAATTTATTTCTTTTTTAAGAAGTTTAATAATTTAGTAATTATGAGCTCTATATTTAAAAAATAATTATAAATTTTTAAAATAACCAACCTTTCTTATCTTTATAAAGAATAAATAAATAATTTTGTTTATTATCGATTATGAAGAAAATTATTTATTAATGATGGAGGATGAAAGTACCACCTCACCTAATTCCGACCATAATTTATGGAATGATCATGAGTTTAAAAAATAACTAACATTTTTTATCTTTATAAAAAAAAAATTTGTTTATCTTCAATTAAGGAAGAAAATTATTTATTAATGTTGGACGATTAAACTCCCACTACTAATTTAGGTAAGGATGACGAGTTTATAATCAAATAATACTCTCTCCATTGGAATAGGGCATTTTGAGAAACCAAAAACAAAATTACTAAAACTTATGTAACTTATGTTCAAAGTGGACAATATCACAACGTGTAGCTGAAAGTAGACGTATGTAACTTATGAATATTTTTGTTTATGTTAATAGATATTTTTATTAATTTAGATTTTTAAATTTGATGCTTTTTATGTGTCTTTTCTGTAGCAGGATTTTAGCTCCCATCGCGAATTCGATCAATAACCAATGATGAGCAACGCGAACGCCTTGATGCTGCTTGCCAGAAGAGCACTCACCAATATTCAAACCCCAGTTCTGAGCTTTCGTTGCTTCTGTTCTCAATCCTCCTCCTCCTACTCCTCAGCTCCCTCGTCTTCTCCTTCTGCGCCAAACAACAAGCTCTTTGTTGCAGGTTCGTTTCTCTTTCGCAATCCCGTCCCACAGATGCTGCCCCAACATGATTCAAATGGTTTATGCATTGAATTTGATCTTGTTTTTTTCCTGCCGCTTCCAGGTTTGTCTTGGTCATTGGACGAGAGATCCTTGAAAGATGCGTTTTCTTCCTTTGGGGAGGTTACTGAAGGTAATCGTGAATGTTGAGTTTAAGCCTTTGATGTATGAGTTGTAGTCTACATGTTCGACGAAATGTCTAGTCGACTTCAGACCTCAGTTCATGATGTTTGCTTCTGGGTCGAAGCTTTTTGCTTCAATTCCATTCATAATTCCAATGATTTTTTAGGAAAAAAGTTGTTTCATTGAAGTTTCCTGTTTTACTATGCTTCTATGATTTTCTTGGGATATTGAGACAGCAAGACAATGAGAAATTTAGAGATTGAAAATTCTGCATGAAGAACTGTGAAGTACAACGAATTTGAGAGGTGGGAAATTAAAATTTATGTTTGAGCTGAAAGAAATTTGATGGCCATTGGTGATCACTCTGGAACTTCTCCAGCAAAATAGCTTATGGACATGGAGTTCATTTGATTTAGTTTAGATGAAATTGAATGGTCGCTGTGAAAAATCAATGGTGATCATTGTAGAAACCTTGATGCCCATTGGCTATCACTCTGAAACTTCTCCAGAAATTAGCCTATGGAATGCACTTGATATAGTTAGGATGAAATTCAATGGCCACTGAGAAACTTCAGTAATCGTCTCTAAAGGAACTTTGATATCCATTGTTGATCACTCTGAAACTGCATCAGCAAATTGCTTATTAGTTGAGTTCAAGCATGTTGGATAGTGATTTGAAATGCTTAAATTCATTGTTCTAGAGTTTGCTTTTAATCATTCAAAATCAATTTTGATAGCATAAAACTTATGTTGAATGATAAAAACGTGTTTATGGGTGATTTTGAACATGAAAAATTATAGTTCAACCATTTCAAGATCACTCTCTAACACGCCCTTTTTCTGTTAAGATTTGAATGCTTATATATACTCTCTTGACAGTTAGGATAATGTACGATAAAGACTCAGGTCGATCCAGAGGCTTCGGATTTGTGAACTTCACAAATGAAGACGATGCACAAACTGCAAAAGATGCAATGGATGGAAAGGCAAGTCACTATTTAATAAGAAGTTGTTTGACAATGTTTAATCTAACATCCTAAATTAGTCAAAATGATAGTCATCCCATCACTTTCAGGCACTATTAGGGCGGCCATTACGAATAAGCTTTGCCCTCGACAAGGTTCGTGGAGGACCTGTTGTCATTCCTCGACTTTCCAACATCAACATGTTTGGCCGAAGATCTTGAAGCTCATGGTATTTCATCTTCATCTACCTGTAGCATGAATATGTAAACTTGAACTGTTCAATTCCTACTTCATAATCTAAATCTTGACTTGGTTTTGGAGGTGAATGCTAGACAAGTGTGGGAACCAATAGTATGAAGAACCTTAAGTTAGGATTGTTTAATAAAGGCAGATAAATGCAATATCAGTCATGATAGATATTTCCAGTTTATTTGTTCAGAAATCTTGTTTTCCATCCTTGTCCTGTACATTAGATTTATTTGCTTGATTTTTCTGTTGGAGTTTGCATTCAAGCACAATTTTAGTTCTGATATGATTCCTAGTGGCATTTTCATAGATTTTTTTATCAGGAAAGGAGAACTATTTTTCACATTCAATAGCCCACAATTAATTGAATGAGTTGATTTAATAGTTCTAATATTATTGAGTTTTAGAGCTTGAGGAATTTTATTATGAGTAATTACATTGATGTGAGCAAATTTGACTCTTATTACTCTTCTTCAAAAGTGGTAAGATTATCTTGGAATTTTTTACATGTTATAAATGTTTAAAATTACCATAAGAGTGAAAAGTCGAATTTTTGACATGTTATAAATGTTCAAAATTACCATAAGAGTGAAAAGTCGTTGACCTAAAACGATATGTTGGAATCTTGTAGAGGTGTTTAGGTCTGATTTGGATTCCAAATTATTGTCCAATTTTTATTCTAACATTTTTATCAATTTTTTGCATGTTACAGTTTTTATTAAATTTTTGTTTTAGTTAGTTTTCAAACTCAAAAAGGAGGAAAATAGGAAAATATTGTAAATTTAGAAAGAAAATGAGTATTTTTTTTTTAAAATAAGTAAAATTTAAGGGTTTTTCTCTCAAAATATTCTTAAACTTGGAAAGTTTCACTAATATCTTTAAATTTTTAAAATATTCAAAATATCCTTAAACTTAAAAAAAAAAAAAAAAACCTTTATTATTATTTTTTAATGGAATGAGTTTATTTAAACTTTTAAATTTCAAAAATATTTTTTAACTTTCAACATTTTTCGAAAATATTGAGTTCTTAAAAGTTTTATTAATACTTTTCAATTTTTTTTTTTTTTTTTTTTT